ACCAGTGCATTGTTAGTGGCTCCTGGCCTACAGATTGGAAAACCTCTATTGTCTCCCCGATCTATAAAAAAGGAACTGAGACTTTAAAATCTAATTATCGTCCTGTATCTGTATTATCGGCTGTTTCAAAGGTAGCGGAAAGAGTTATCTTTGATCAGTTATATGAGTTTTCTCTTGACTTTCTCAGCGGGAATTTGTCTGGTTTCTTGAAAGGACACTCGTGTACGACAGCCCTTCTCAAGACATTCGAAGACATTAGGAAAAAATTAGACTCTAGCGAACACTCTGCAGCAATTACCATAGATCTCTCCAAAGCATTTGACTCTATCAATCATGATTTGCTTCTTGCAAAACTGTCAGCTTATGGTGTAACTAAAGACGCCTTACAACTTCTACGTTCTTACTTGACTGACCGTAAGCAACATGTCAAGACTGACGGTGTTTTGTCGGATTGGCAAATTGTGAGGTGTGGAGTTCCTCAAGGCTCAATCTTGGGCCCCCTTCTCTTCAATATATACATGAACGATGTGAATTTTTCAGATATTTCGTGCTCTCTAAGATTTTATGCTGATGACACTACTGGGTACTCTTCAAACCTCTGTCCATCTACCTTGCAAATAAATCTACAAAACAACGTTGGTCTACTCGCTTCCTGGTTTTGTGAGAACTTTCTGGCGATCAATCATAGTAAATCTCAATCCATAGTTTTCAACAGAGCAACTTTACCAACGCCCTTTGTTATTGACAGTAATGAACTGGATTACGTTACACATATGAAGCTTCTTGGAGTAGTCATCGACAATTCACTCTCTTTCAACGTACACATTAAAGAAGTTTGCCGGAAAGTGAATACAAAAGTTTCAATTCTCCGTCGCATTCGTAAATTTATACCCTCAGATGTGATGATTAAATTGTACAAAGCTTTCATTCTCCCTCACTTCGAATATGCATCACCACTGTTTATAGGTCTAAGTAAGGGTCTGTCTGCGAAACTGGAGTCAACCAATGCATTCGCTCTGAGGACTCTTCTCAATTATTCTAAGTCGACTGCTTACGAAGAGTAAGCACAAATAGCAATTATTCATTCTAGATAATTAATTTTTATTTCTTACCTATTACTTATTACTTATATATGTAAATTATGTCAAATTTTTATGGCACATTTGCATTTAAACGAGCTATTCGCTCATATGCGATATGTGGCTAAATAAAGTTACTTACTTACTTACTTACACTTCACTCTGATTGGGCAGAAAAACACAAAGATTTTCTGGCACCAATCAGATGGCAGAACGACTGCGACTGGTCTTGTGAGATAATGTCCCCAGGGGCTCTTCATGCCCTAACTTGAAATCGACCCACAGCCCCTGGGTCTCCGAGGATGAAGTTTTCCCGACAGGCAACAAGTTTCTTGAGTTATTTCATAGTTTTTGTTAAATAGTCACAGGACAGATCGTATCGATAATTCTGTCGGTAATTATCCATGACCATGAAGGGACTAGTAAAAAGCTATCCGGCGAATAAAAATTCACGTGGGATTCGATAGGTACCAAACAGTTAATTCAGAAGCTCAAAACTTTTTAAAATTATATCGTGCCAACTTTATCATGCTAAATCTTAAGTCTACCGATTGATTTTGTATCATTTCATTTATTCCAGACTCGGTCTTCATATAAGTTTTTACTGCAAGTTAATCGTTGAACAAGAATGTTTGAACTGATATCAACACCCAATAGAATACACAGCACTTTAATAAGTAACCTTGTCAATAAGAAGCTTTATTACATTTTTGTGAAGTTATTGTATACAGTACTTTTAACTCGCTGATTTTAAATTTAAGCCTATAAACTTACTGTGTATCCTCTATGAGAGACTGCACACAGCGGCAGACAGTCACTCGAAGAGTTCTAAATCAGCTTAATTTACCCCAAAAGCTATCAAGAACCCAGCAACCTAACATAACTACTGACCCAAATGCTTTTGTTACACACTTGAACTGATATTTTGCTTTTCCATTGTTTAAACAGTGGAGGTATATTTTACTTTAACTTTATAATAACAATTTCCGCTTATGCAACAAGTAACCTTTTCCTACGGATCGTAACCATTTAACTATAACACACACATTTGGCAATACGATTATTTTCAGACGCAGTTTACATATAACAGGTATGGTAATGGTTATAAAATGTAACGTATGTACAAGCGTTGAACACCACAGCGGCGCAATCAAATCAGTCTTCCAAAGACGAGAAGTCCTCTCCTTCCCACAGTGCATTGACTTCCTTCTGCACTCGAAGATCTGTTAATGAAGAATTCAAACAATTAACGGGATGACCGCATCTTACACAGTCCAAGCAGATTTACAGTCCTATAAACGTTAGTGTCTGTTTTATAAGGGGGAAATTAACTAGTTTGTATCTACATGGCTGAAGTTGTATCGAAACGACTCTCTACGTTTATCAAATCGACTCTGTCAATGTATCGAATCCACTTCGGTTTGTATCGAATCGACTTGTATCGAAACGACTTTGTATCGGACTCCGTCTAGACAAGACTCTCAGTTCCACAGTTTGAAAATAAAGATTCTCAAAGGTAAAACATAAGAAAATAAAAACATACAAACTGTTCCAATGAGGCCTTAAACTGCTGCCTAAAAAGTAAATTTAAAATCCAAGCTTTCGCCGATCAACGGCATCATCATTAATCATTAGATGGGGATGCTGTTGATCGGCGAAAGCTTAATTTTAATTTTAAGATAGTAGTTTAAGGCCTCGTTGGAACAGTTTGTATATTTTTAAGTATGCTGCTGAAGGACAACACGAACAGATTAGAAAAATAAATTTGCAAGATATTTCTCAGCTTTCAAGGGGTAATGAAAAGTCAATTAGGTATCACAAGGTATTCTTTAGGTTTTAGGCATGAATTTGCAGGTGTATATTGGAACATAACCCTCGTTTAGTTTGAATATTCTTTGTCATTTCAAAAAGTATATATATTCCACTTTTCCAGCTTTACGAATCGCTTGCCATTTCGTTTTCTTTTAACTTACATATCTCATCAAATGCCTCCACCATTTCTCCAAGTACAGTGAGCCGTTCATCTAAGTTTTGCATGTCTTTGGTGTAAACGCCAAATTTGTGATTATTTTCTGCCTTGGTTTGTTTGTACTCGGAATAAGACTCTTCATACTTCTTCAACTTCTCGACGATTTCATCCACGACAACTTTCAAGGCACTTTTAGCCTTGGCTTTCCTGTCTGCTTTCAGAGATGTAATCTGAAATAATAGAAAAGCCATTGAAAAAGAGAACTTAGTGTATTCATGAGTTGTTACAGACATTGCTAATTCAAATGCTATTAAAATACTTCATCTCAGTATTGCACCACTGAAAAATATGTTCTACGCGAGTAGCTTAAGAGAAGTTTTAAGTATATCAAAAGCTGGAATACGAACTGGCTGAAAAAAAATTTCTAAATAAAATTAAATGAAACTCTGACCCACCGTATCTTTGAGGAATTTAAGGTTTTTATCGCAGTCTTCAATGTGCTGTTTGCATTCAATAGCAGCCGCTGCCGTTGCATCTCGCAAACGTCTGTGAGCCATGATGTCCAGTGTGTGTAGTTCATGTTCTTCTTTCCTTTTGCTTTCAACAGAAGCATCCATCAATTTACTGGATCCATCTAACAAAAAAAAAACAGTGCAAGAAAAGTTCTCGCAACTTGTTTCTGTAAAGTTCTGCTCGGTTGTAAGCCAAAAATTCTGCCGGTTCCAGTTCCCATTTTGTCCCGTCTTAAAATGACAAATTAGCCTCAACCGATTCAACCAATAGATAGGAGTAGTTTTCAATAAATTGAGTACATATATCTTATTAGACGTTTTGTTGAGTAGTATCGCTGAGTATTTCTACGAGTTTTGCCGTAAAAATACTCAGCGATACTACACAACAAAACGTCTAAAAGTTATTTTTTACTACGGGGAGTGCGCGACAGAAGTATGCGAAGCGGAACGGAATTGGCGCGTTGTCGTGTTGCTGTTTTTCTTCAATAAATGAAGAAATTTCCTGGTCGTCTAGCCGTTTTTCTTTGTTCGATTAATCTAATACCGCGTGATGTTTGTACTCGTCTATGGCGTTATTTCTACTCTACGAAGTGTAGTTAGATAATAATGACAGTTATTCTGGATTGCTTTGGCTTTACTTTACTTCGCTCAGTGATTGGTCCAGAAAACTTGACCACCATCTCAATCAAATGGAAAACTAAAACCAATTTCAACTTCGCTCGCGTTTTCCCGCGCTTCAAACAGATTGCCTCTTTTTACTTTGAGTTCTCATTGGCTAATGATGATGTTTTAAAGCGTTTTATTTTGATTGGTAGTTGTAATTACTTTGGTTTTGGTTTTCAGACAGTCAATTGAAAACTACTCTCACACCAAGAAAAGTTGGTTTGATGCAGAGAGGTTCAGAGCAGTTTTCAATTAAGTTTCAAAGTAGCAAAATAAGATTAATCACAACAGCAAATCAGAACAAAGGTTAACATCTTCACAGGCCGAGGAGAGCTCAAGTAAAAACAAGCGAGCTGCCAAAAGCGCGGGGACTGAACGCGGATGATCAAGTCACGATTAGTTTTAGTTTGGCATCTAATTGGTTGGTGGAATGGCCCAATTTTCCTCACCAATTACAAAGCCAAGTAAAGCAAAACCAAAGCTGGATTACTTGAGACTCTCAAATGGAGACTGCTCTATCAAGTTATTCCTGATATAATTAGTAACTTGTCTGACGGCTCGCTTCAATGATATCAACAATATCAGAAAAAATTCACAGATTTTTAAAATTTTTATAATAAATAAAAGTTTATCATTAGGTGTAGTGTTTTTGCTGCTCTTAATGACGTAAGCAGCTTTCCATCAACGTTGACTTGGTGGGACAAAAGTAAAGTTATACCACTATAAATTTACGACAGAAAATAAGCTGTCTGCAAACATGATACTTTCTATTGCATAGAACTACTTTGAATCAGGGTCATTTAGATTGGGATCCGCACATACCTTTAAATTCTTCCATAACGTGCAGAGCAGCCTGGCACCTGTCTTGTAACTCTCGTATTTGCTGACGCCACTTCTCCAACTCTTTTTCGGCTTCCTCTGCTGTCTAATTGACAAAGCCGATGATCATAATTAATCTTTAATAAGAATTAACAATCATAAAGAGATAAACTGATCTTAAAACAGGAACACAGATTGAATTTGATTAATAATGATAGTTGAACTGACTGGAATGCAATTTGGCATAAAATCATATATGTGCGATTTGAAATCACAAGTATGATTTCCGACCAAAATTGTACAACACGGAGTTCAATTGCCACTTATTTTGAAATCACAATTCAGTCGTTCAAATACAGGTTTATTTTGGTCTGTAGATATATTTTAAGAGCAGGTTTGTAAAAGAAGTATAAGTTGCAAAATGTGACTTTTATTTTCCTGTAATTACATGGGTTGGTTTTTTTAAACAAGCCTTAAAATCTGATTGGTTGTTGTGTTTTAATAAAGCTGTCTCATTGGCTGGGAAAAAGATATAATTTAGAGCATAAAATAGAGCAATTCATGAGCAAATCGCAGTAATGAGAGCCAATCAGATTGCAAGGATCATCCATTTTACAATGGATATAATAAAACTCCCAACGACATAATTGCACTACTTATCCTTTCAAAACGGGTTACTCTCCCGTTTTGGCATAAACCTCCCATTTGCAAATATTTTCCTGCTTACATCCCATTTTCACTCAATAATTTCTCCCTTTTTTGTAACTATCATCTGCCAAAAGTAGGCAATGTTTCCCTGCTCCACTGGTCTTTTTAAAACTATCCTTTTTATTTTTCATAAGATATCTTCAGCCTCTTAGGCGACCTTGCACAAGTCTATGATTTTTTTCGGGTCTGGTATTGAAAGAGACTGCAACCAGTTATCTAAGACAACTGGTGTTAGCTTTGGAATTCACTTTAGAGTTAGATGCAAGTATCTCAAACAACCTAATGATTTGTTTGAAATGAATATTACAGTCCAAAAAACAAAACATGAAACTGAAATTTAAACTAAAGAAAATCCTATTCAAACCACCAGTAGGTAAACTTTCCCAAGTCATCACAACTGGTTCTCAATTATCACCAGCCTAACCTAGATCTCCAAACCACAGAGTTTCTTGAAATAATATATAAATATACCTTTAATGTTTTAAAATTATTCTAAAACATCTATGTTTTCAGTCATGAAGTTGTCATTAAACAATACTCAAGAGGAAGTAAGCTCTGCAAATGTCCAACTTAAAAAGAAAGAAAAAATGAAAACTGTCTTGAGCACAGTATAGTTAACTCACCTTGTCTGCTTTCTGTTGGGTTTTCTTTTCCCTATCTCGTTCTTCCTCTAACCTTTGCTCCTGTTCCTTGAGAGCATTCAAACGTCGCTGCAGCTCCTCTTGGTCTTGTCTGTTAGTTTGTAACTTTTGGCACAATTCCTTATCTTTCTCAGTGTAATTTTTGAGGGCAATCTCAGCAGACTGATGAAGGGTGTCTAGGCTTTCAACTTTAAATTTTACAAGAAAATAAAGATACACTTTTTATAATTTTGAGCAATGGATCAACAATAGAATATTAATTGTAAAAATGACTGACTGACTGACTGACTGGCTGAATGACTGACTAACTGCCTGACCATGTAATGACTGTCAGGTTAAGCAATATCTAAAATTAGATATTAGAGATGCTTTGGGATCATATTAATGATGAAACCTTGTGCTTTTTGGCAGTATCATGTTGCTGTGTTATTTTCACCAACTTTTCTTAGGTGTACAGAGAGGAAAATTGCTAAGCATGGCTTTGTATTCCTTTAGTTTCATTTCGTTAAAGTCGTACCTTGATTAATGTTAGTTTTATCTTATGTTTGTGTATTTTGTGTGATGCAACTGCGGTTTGTGGCCTGGCTGGCTGACTGACTGACTGAGTGAATGAATGAATGACTGAATGACTGTCTGTCTGACTGACTTTCTGACTGACTGACTGACTGACTGACTGAATAACTGCCTGATTGACTGACTGGCTGACTGACTGACTGACTGACTGGCTGACTGACTGACTGACTGACTGAATAACTGCCTGATTGACTGACTGGCTGACTGACTGACTGGCTGACTGACTGAATGGCTGGCTACCAAGTCAGCTGACTGACTGTGACTGATTGACCAACAGTCAGATCTACAAACAAACTGACTGACTGACTGGCTGGCTAGCTTACTGATAACAAATACCAATAATTGATTAGAGGAGTGCCAAATCAGAGTGCTTTACGAATAACAAAATTTGTGAGTGGTTGATTGTTTAAAAGATTTGCTGGTGATGTACCTATTTTAGCTACATCGCCTTCACAGTTGTCACTCATTAATTTCAGCTCCTCAATTTCTCTGTTAATTTCTTGATCAAGTTCATCACTTTTCTTGAGAAACTTTTGCAAAGTCTGTGCCTCCTCTGTCCTCTTCTGTCTCTCCAGTACTCTTTTGACATCTTCCTTTCCTTTTGTCATGGCTTGTTCTGAAATGTAACAGGTGTAATATAATTTATTACACGACTCGGGCAGTCAGAGGGCCAATAACTAAAATCAACCAATCAAAATGCTCTATTGTCAGTCAATATTCTCTCAGTATTGGACCAGGCACTGTCCCGAATGGTCCTGAATGATACCGCACTTGTGTCCCTTTGAACTTCAGTCGTATAATAAATCTCTTATTAACCAAGCTTGCTCGGGACCGCACTGGAAGAATATCGGCCCTTGGTCTTTTTTGTACGGACCTCGCTGCGCTCGGTTCGTACTGTCAAGACCTCGGGCTGATATTCTCCCAGTATGGCCCTCGCACTTGGTTAATAAGATATATGTAGTGGTGTACAAATAAGTTGTAAAGTAATGTTCTTGAATACTTCATTCTTTGTTTTAAGTCATGCTGATGTTGATCTATAGAATATGAAATACTAATACAGAAATTTGTTCTAGGTTGTTCTAGATAAGTTGTCAGTAGAGCTGTTTTACAGACTACAACTAGCTAAAACATTAAGGGAACCATGACCAAACACAAATGGATTCCTTTATCAACTAACCAGACAAGTTCAACTTTCATAAATTAATAACTTGCCATTATAAAGATACATGCTTTTGGTTTATACATCACTTTATGCAGGTTGATGCCCCCAAAAAACAATTCCGTTGTGTTAATCAACTCTTAACATAAATTAAAGGATTTCCTCAATTAATAGCCCTGGATTCACTGATTTATTTTTTAATTTACCCAGTAAAATAACTCCTTCCTCTCTCTTTTCAAGGGCTCTGTCCATCTCTGTCTTTTTAAGGAGATCAAATCTTTCTCTTTCACATCGTTTGAAATCTGCCAAGGCCTCCACAGTATCATGTGAAAGCTCAAACTTATCTGCCACTCCATGACAGGCCTCCAGAACAACCGCAAAACAGGATCCCAACAATTCTGTTACTGCATTCAGGGAAGTTGAATTCTTTGCAGCATAGTCAATGGCCACCAAAAGTTTTTCTTTGTAACAGAACAAAACAGCCTTTAAACTTGAGGAATTACAGAAATATTAGATCTTATGCATATGACTGCAGTATAGTTTCTTCACAGGCAAGCACAGACTATTTCTGATTTTTTATTTTGTTTGGTCCACCTGAGACTCACTGAATGTCTATCAACCTGATTATTTTACTTACATTTCTACCAAATCTTCGTTTCCTCAGAAGTGATTCCACATTTTGATTTTTTTACAACTAGCATAATTTGATTACTTTTTGTAAACAACATACACTAATAAATTGAACTGTATAAGGGCAATGAAGGAATTGACAATACTATGGCATGATTATTGTAAAATTTAAGATATTCAGGTTTGAGATCAAATGACTTCCTAAGAATTCTAATAAATTCAAACAATACCCTTAATTACTAAACACATCTTCTCTCTCAGCCAGTCCTACATACCATTGACTTCTTTGACAATTTCATGGAAATCAGCAAACTGCGGATTTGCAAGAATTTCTGAAAGTGTTGTCATGTGTCCCTTGATCTGTTCATCTTTGAAAAAATGATAAAAAAAAATCATATTATATCATATGCCCTGCCTCGGGAAATTAAGAGATTCAAAGCAAACAAAATTGACTGTCTCTGGAGGGGTCATGCAGTCATTAAGTGATTTGTCATGTATCTTGGTGAAGACATTAGAACATGCAAAGTGAAACCAAGGCCAAAATTAAATCACAAGTAAGTGCATGAAAGTGTAAAATGCTATAATGCAAACATTTTAAGCCACCTTTTATCATGCTCTTCTCACATGCAATAATTGTTGGTCAACATTGCGGATATATTAACATTGTACTGTGTCTCACTAAGTATATATTTTGCAATGTTTCCCACCCAGAGACTTTTAAACAGAGACAGCTTTATTGTTAGATGTCATGAGACCCAAAGTAACCAATGACAGCCTGCACTGTTGGAAAAAATTTCAGTTATTCAAAAAACACACATTATTGACCAGGGGTTTCATTAATGTTTTTAGCAAGAGGAGCTAGGACTGGTTTTCACAAGCAGGCAAAAATTTTTGTAAAGCACTTTTTTATATGATAAATGTTTCTATAGATGGTCAAACCAGATGGGCAAAGCAATCCTCAAAATGGATTTCACTGTTTCCCAAACTGCTAGGAGACTTTTGCTTTTCTACAATTAATTTCCCATAAGATACAATGAATTATACGAAGTTCATATATTTTGAACTGCGGTATTAGATACATATGATATACGATCCTCGCAGTAGATAGCGCTATTTAAGCAATAGCGAAAATCAGACCTGAAAAAAATCAGGCCTGTACGGGATTCGAACCACTGACCTCTGCGATACTAGTGCAGCGCTCTACTAATTGAGCTAACAAGCCAACTGAGAGCAGGCCGTTGAGCTGAATCAACTCAACGGCCTGCTCTCAGTTGGCTTGTTAGCTCAATTAGTAGAGCGCTGCACTAGTATCGCAGAGGTCAGTGGTTCGAATCCCGTACAGGCCTGATTTTTTTCAGGTCTGATTTTCACTATTGCTTAAATAGCGCTATTTACTGCGAGGATCATATATCATATGTGATTTCCCATAAGTTACAATGAAAACATTTTAATCAACTGTACAAATACTATCAAGGTGAACAAACCATTATGTGAAGTGATTGGTTACCCAAGTGGCTGTAAATAAACAATTACTGGGATTGCCAAATACAACACAGAGTTTTCTTTGTTTTGCTTCCTTGCTGAGTTCATCTATTTGATGAAATACAATCTGGATCTCCCTTCATCTAAATAATGACCAGTCTTAAAATCTACAAATTTAGGAAACTATCTCTTCTTACCCAAAACAAACATATGATGATGCATTAAAATGAATGATGAATAAAAATTATATGATTACAAATATGTTTATTGCGTTTACCAATTTTTGGCCGGGATTGCACTTTATTCCTGCTGACATCGAGGCCTTCTTGATTGCTAAAGTACAAACGCCCCTTGGTGTTTTTGGGGAGCACTTGTGCCTGTTAATAATAATAATAATAATAATAATAATAATAATAAAAAAATGATAAGTAACTCTCTAATATATAGGTAAAATCTTTTCATATTTTTATAATTACATGACCTTGCACAGCTGTATGAAAATACTGAAATTTAGTTGGCTTTATAAAAATAATGCTTTTGCTATTTCTTCAAATTCATTCCCTTAGTAAATTATGCTTCCACTTTCAAATTGGTATAATTCTTCTTTATAGATATTTAAAAAACTCTTAATTACTGTTGAACAAATAGCAATTTCATTGAGTAAGTAATTTCTTTCAGTGGAAATGGTTACCATAGGAATTATAGCATTGTCTGTTCTAAATGGGTGCAAACATAACTTGTTATGTAGCTGTTAATGTTTGATGAGCAAATTTTTGAGACAAATTTGAAATAACAACAATTAAACTATGATCTGTTAGTTTTGATAAATATAATAATGTGCTGATAAAGACTGTTTGATAGCATTTTGGAATTTTCAACTGAGAGTACAGGGACAACTTTCAAAATAATAATACATAGAAGTGTGGTCAGAGACCAAAGCAATTTACAAAGCAACAAATTCAAATTGTTTTTAGAGTGCATGTCTTCCACTGAACACATGCAAATTTTGAATGTGGTGACAGCTGATTCTGATTGGTTTCTTGCTCTAATTTTTGGTTGTCAACCAAATATTTGGTACAAAGAGATATTTTTTGCCAACACTAAATTGATTCATAAATGTTCAAAAATGATAGATACTCAGAGCAGAAGCATAAGATATTGTTGATAACTACCTCTGATTAACTCCAGTAAAATTTAACAACTATGCATTGAATCATAACCAATGAAAGCACAAAAAAAAAAACCCAGTAAATTCCACCTCCACAATATCATTCCTCTCTAATTCAGTTGCCTGGTTGCTGGTATTTGTCTCCAGAGAGCTATTGACCAGTTCAATACTCTCATCACCATTAAAGGCATCAAGAGACACCCTCTGGTAATCCATATCGATGGTATCGGTCACTAAGTGATAAAAAAAAAAGTACTTAGGAATTGCCATAGACATTTAAAATGTGCACAGTACTAAGAAGGTAAAAATGTGATTGTGCTTTGAAGTCCTTTTGTGTATACTGTCACTCATTCTTTTTTTCAATTTTTTTCATTAATTAATCTAAATCAGTATATATTTATTTTATAACAGTTTTGAGGCACAAGTACAAGTAAAATAAACCTCAGCATAAATTTAAGCTGTAGAAGCCATAGCAACAATCTGTACAAGTGAAAGAGTGAATAACCTTCAAAGGATGTGAATTCAGCTGAACATTATACCTGCAGACATGGTTGTGCCATGACATGAAACAGGTCCAAAATAATTAATGTACACAGATGTCTAGGTTACACATTATACATCAAATGATTCTAAAATTAAAGCTGCAGAAGATATCAAGTTCATGAGCTTAATTGATCACAGTATTAATTTTTCGACACTCCCCATTTTCCTAAATCATTTCTGTCGAGACAAAGTATCATAAATGGAATAATTTGGATATATCAACGAAGTTGAAATGGTAAATTGGCCACCGTAATGATTACAAAAGCTGACGTTTCGAGCGTTAGCCCTTCGTCGGAGCGAATAGAGGAATTGTGGCTTGTGTGTGCTTTAAAAGGCAGAAAATGGAGCTACGTTATTGGTGGGTATCATAAATGGAAGCAGGATACACAGGAAAACGTTAAAAAAATAATGATACTTCATCTCGATCTCAGAAAGATCAGTGCGCGTTGATCACGTACACATGGTTTTAATGCAGGTAAGAACTTGATGAAACTTACTTAACTAAAAGTCACCTTTTACCTAGGCCTTTATCCGTCTGAAGTTAATATCTAATTGCAAATTAAAATAAAAGTAAAGAGAACGTGAAGTAACCCTCTAGAGATTGCATAAATATTTCGTTGCAAACACAACAAATGAAATACGGTCTGTCTGGATTCGTCTGTCCGCAAATTACATGGTTTGCTCGCTTTAGAACTTCCAGGGGGGAAGGTCTTGTTTGCACACTTATAATCAAATGGATGTTTCTTTTACTGACGCCTTTTCATTCAGGAATTGAAGTACACAAAAGCCTGTTTGCCTTATGAGTTTACAGATCAGTGTTAAAGCATGAACATTAACGAAATACCTAAAGCGTATTAAAGCTAATTTTAACTAATGGCACGACTTTACAAAGCGTCCTTCAATTCAATTCACACTATGAAATGACCGATAAAAGTTGCAAGTGTATGGAGATGACATTAAAAGAGTTAGAAAACAGAAAACAAGTCGGAACGCACAGACGGTTAGACTGTTTATCCATTATAAAGTAAACGACATCCGTACAATGGGTTGTTTGAAACACGCATCGTTAAAGTTGACGTTCGCTTGGCAAAGCGACCGATTTTCTCAAACTTCAGTGACTTTATTAGCTGCGCTTTGGTAGGTTTTCAAGTTGTGGTTACAGAGCTCGGGTTATGTGACTCAAACTCATTTCAGTTAAATCATTTCCTACGAAATAAATCCATTACAAACGAAATCGCTACCCCCTCATCTTGTCTCCCTATCCCGGAAGTAAAAAACACTGTATTTTTGCGAAGTTGAAGTTCATAGAAAGACTCCAATTGCAATCAAAGTTAAAGGTCACAGCTATATGAACCGAAGGAATCATTTCAACTTACTTTAGCCTTGTAGTTCCTTCTTCTTCGTGATCTTGAAATGTGGTTAATGGCGAACTGCAGTCTCTATTTGTAATATGACCACAGCAAATTTCGGGGAAGCCCCTCGAACTCCCCTCGTTCTCCCCTCGTTTTATGCTCTTGTTGTAAGAAAATAAAGACCATCTCTAATAGCAACTCTAAATTGTTAAGTAAACCTCGCTCTCAGAAACAAACGCAATTCATAAACACAAAACTTATACATTCGATATATTCTATATAATGAATTTTGTGGATATCTCCAACGTTGTTGCAGACATGATTTAATATGAATTAAGGCGCAAACTAAATTCTCATTACTTGATTCTTTGAAATCCAAATTTAGGAGTGACAACATAGTTCCAAACTGAACTTTACTCAGCCATTGACTGAATACGTAAATAACAATAAGTTTGACTTCGCTTTCCTTACTTTCCTCACTTACACATCTTTTTCTTTAATATAAACTAGAAATTTTTGAACCTCTCAGAATATTCACGTCAATATCGTGCCCCCTATCACAAATATGTTCGCGTGATGAGACAAACAAACCAACATTGCCCCAGGCTACATAGTAAACTTTACAACCCATGTTTTTAAATTCTGAAGTTATTCGCTACTTGTTTTCGGTATAGATAAATGAAAGTACATATTTCCAACCTTATTTTGGAACATGACGAAGGATATTTGGTTTTTCGGCAACAGCAGCGGCTTTCGAAGAGTAAAGAGAAGCGGCTGATTCTGGTAATATTTTATCTTGGGGGTAGGGGAAGGGGTATGGGCGGCTGAAACGCTATAGGACCCCGCATACAAGATCGACCTGAGCTAAGGAATCCGACTTAGCAACTCAATTTTCATTGGATTGTTTTGGAAGTCATAAAATGTCATCTTGATTGAATTGTTGGTAGTGTTCGTCATGTGTAAAGCAAAAAATTTTAAATCTTGTTCACTCCATGTACCTGAAAAAAGCTCAAAATTTTAACTACATGTACCTGAAAAAACATATTTTGCTTTCAGTGAATTTTTCCTTTGGCCGCGAAAGGTTTGAAGCTATTATGCATTTGAAATATTCTACCCCCCGCTAGATTAAGGAAACTTCTACAATATTTATTTGTTTCACGCTAGATTATAGGTTCAAAATTCACAATCCCTTCGACATTTATGTTTCAAGGGGCTGGCTGCTCCTCCAAATCGCTATTCGACTTGATACACCGCAGGCGGCCCAAGCTCTCTTTGAGAACCACACAAGGAACACAATCTGTATACCGATTTATAAGGATTTGTATGGGATTTTCTACAAGATATCCATAGAGATAGTTAAAAGTGAAAATATCAATAAAAATGGCTTACCTTACTCTATACGTGTGTTGTTTGCTCCTGGTGTCGTTATTCTCTAAACAGAAAACCAGGATTAAAAAAACCCGCTTAAATCAAGTGAAATCGGTAAAATAACGACACCAGGAGCAAACAACACACTTATGGATGTTTCGTTTGGTAAATGGGCGTTGCCTATGATGACAGATATATTTTAATTAACACAACTCGTGATTGACATTAATTTCTCACAGTGATTTAAAGTGTTAGCTTGTCGTGATTTAAACCAGTTTTTCAGAAGAATCAGTAAGAGAGAAAAGTCGATTTTTGTATCTGTTTGCTTACCCGAATCTGCTAACTTGAAGTGAGAAACCTGTTTTTACGACCCGCCACAGAAGTAAGTTTCCAGTCATGTTTTCTTGAATTTTGCCATGAGATTAAGACTAAATTTGCGTTTTATGATTTCGGATTACAAATGTAGTTCTCTTAGATCGAATAATCATTAAAGTTTGGATAATATTATACGGTTTGTGGTGGTCGTCTGAGCTGACCAGTTCCGAGTAAGGAAACAGTAAGCCATTTTTATTTAATATTTTCACTTTTAACTATCTCTATGGATATCTTGTAGAAAATCCCATACAAATCCTTATAAATCGATATGCAAATTATGTTCCTTGTGTGGTCCTCAAAGAGAGCTCGGGCCGCCTGTAGATACATGCAACAGGGTCTTAAACGAATCAACTTCGCTATGCAACTGCACTAATAATAATTTTGAGTGTATCAACAAAGTTGAAATGGTAAATTGGCCACCGTAGCGATTACAAAAGCTGACGTTTCGAGCGTTAGCCCTTCGTCGGAGCGAATAACTGTCTTGACTGAAAAATAAATTAACCCTGGACAAAGCCATGTAGGAAAATGAGATTGGGAATTATGGGGCATACACACCAGATATATTCTTAACGTATGAAAGAGATAAGGTTGGAGCATATCAAAACTGACCAATAAGGTATTCATTTGAAAGAACTAACCTCCGCAACAAGCCATCTGTATTGAAACTTGGTAAATTTAAAAAACGGGGAAGGAGCGTGATAAATTTTGAGATTGGGCCAGAATCAACTGTACCACCGGGGGCTTGGATGTGGCTGCCTGAACACGGGTTACCCTCTCCTCTACTCCCACTCCATCCCCCTTCCGGGTCAACCAGTCTTGCGTGACGGAATCATCACAATGATGCAGCACATCCTGTATCAGCTCCATGAAGAAAGTGAAAGAAGATGGCAGTCTCGGAGGTTTGTAGGAATACAAGTGTTAACTCAAATTTCATGAGAGAAGAGATGTCTTCGTACAATTCACAGGAGGATAGAAGCCATCTTTTACCTGGGGTCGACCGAAACCCTCGCTCACCCAATATGATTAGACCATGCTTCTACATGTTACAGATCTTGGGCATGTGGAAACCTAATAACCGCAAATTTGAATTTTTATGGCAAGTTTATCGGAGAGTTGTGTATATCATCTGGTTAGGATGTCTTGCAGCGATTATGTGTTTGGATTTTGTTCACTATGGTTTTGATACGATCCATGTCAGGGAAGTCGTAAATAGTGCTTGTACTTGCATTGATTTCCTGTGTCCTTTCGTGTTCACTCTGTATTATTTCAACCGTGGTCATTTTGTAGAGTTAGTGTACAAAGTACAGAATATTTCCAATGAGTGGAAGCAGAAGTTATTCCGTATTTCTCTCTGGTACACTCTGATGTCTGTTATTCTCTGGGTTCTCTGTGCCACGTTTTTCATGGTACACTGGTTTCCGTTCTTCTCTGAGTGGTGGCACTACGCAGTTTACATACCCGCGGTAGTCTACATCGCAGGCTGGTGGGCAACATGGCTCAGCATCTATGGATTTGTTTGCCATGTTCACAGTCTACATATTGATACTGTCATAGAACAAATGAAGATGAGAGAACGCCGGCCAATTTCTATTTTACGAGGACACTTTGAGTTACAGCAATCACTAGAGAAAACCCAGAAAGATTTCAACGTCATCATTTCTATGGCTGTAGCATACCATATATTGGATCTGATAGTTTTTAGTTTTGCGTATTTTAATTCTGCCTTTGGTAGCGACTATCCGATCTGGCAATACTTTGGTACTGTACTTTATGATTTACTTAGTATTATTTTCAAGCTCTACCCCCCAGCGCTTGTGGCAGCAGCATCACATCGCATTGTTGTAGAGGCTTCAAAACGATGCAAGAGAAGCCCCCACACAACGGATCTGCCGACTGAAGATATACTGTTATTCCAGTACATGGCATTGTGCGAGTCAGATATGGGTCTTAAAATTCTTGGAATTCGCATCACTGTAGAGTTAACAATGAAGGCTCTTATGACAATAATCACTGCTGGTGTATCATTCATAGCTTTTGTTATACCACGGCTCAAGTAGAAAATTTTCTCTGGACTGTTGTTCAACAGGAGACTCTCTCGGCAAGTAAAACATGTTTTCAGATTCATGTGTGCAGCTATGTAACCTTGGATGTTTTGATGCCTAAGGCGTGGATCATGAATGCATAGATTCATTCCGAAGACGCAGTTTTTCAGCGAAGCCACGATAAATTATTTCTTACTGTTTCGATTTTTGTCTGGCTTACACAAATTGTGTGGCCACATTATGGCACGATCGGATTCATTTATTTATTTATTTGTCGACGAGAGTCGAGCGCCTGTCACGTGGTCTAGTGTCGTACGGCGAACTAGTCACTGAGATAGAATAAATATATGAAAATCATATATTTTGAACTGCGGTATTTGATACGTATGATGCACGATCCTCGCAGTAGATAGCGCTAGTCACTAGCGACTAAATACAGGAATGGCTCCGACCTGTAATTGGATGATAAAAATAGTAAAAGTTAATAAGTTACATCTTAACTCCTTGCACGCTAGTATTGTTTAACCGCGTGTCTCCAAGCGGAACAGTGAAATGACAATGCGAGCGAAAACACCGGTGTGTTACTTTGCATAAAAATTTACTCGCATGAATTTTGCTCGTACTTTTTCGTATTTTTTTACTCGTATGTACCCGTATGTTACTCGTATGTTAGTCGTATGTTACTCATATGTTACTCGTACGTTAGTCGTATGTATTCGTATGTATCCATATGTTCTGTATGTTACTCGTATGTTACTCGTATGTTACCCGTATGTACTCTTGTGGTATTTTAGTCATGATCGTCTGTTGTCCGTGCAAGCGGCTCTCGCTCAGTTGTTCACTGACACGTGACAACGACAAATAAAATTTAACATTCCTTTGCTCATTTCTATAATCATCTGGGTAATTATACTAAAAAATTATTTGCCTCAGGCTTGTGAATATTGGTGAATATTCATTTCGCCTTCGGCGAATAATTGTTAAATACAATTTTTTAAGCCAATGAGTGAAAATAGGATTTTTGTTGCAATTTGAAAATCGAAGGCTGCTGTTGTCTGCCAGTAATTCAGTGCGAGAGCCACTTCAAACGAAATTATTCTCTCATGTTTACAGAGCTAAACCAATTCACAAATATCTAACGACTAACCTGAAACTGCGGTTTGTCATTAACATGGTGCTAAATGTCTCTTATGATTGATTCCAAACTTTGAGGAAGTAATACATTGAAACTCAGTAACAAAGTGGTTTTGCTTTTACTAAAATGCGATCAGTATTATGTTTTCCAAGTAATGCCTAGAATCATTCAGACCTTAATATTTCATGACTTCCTGTAAGCTTGGCAGTCTTCTAAATTCTCTTTATAATAATTCAGATAATCAGTGATATTTAAACTTAGTAGCAATACATATGTATCAGGCCTTTATCTGGTACTTGTTTGGTTGTGGTTAGGGGCCGACCATTTAACTCTTGAGGGGGGCGGGGGTGGGTGATTTTGAAAAAAATTTCCTACAAGCGCTTGTTGGAAGAAAAAAATTGCATACGCCCCAAATGTAACAGAAAAAAAGAGCATTTAGAACGGAAAAAAATATCCTGCACAGCAGATTGCTAGAAAAAAATTTCTTGATGACCAGAAATCACCCACCCCCCCTCAAAAGTTAAATGGTCGGCTCCTTAATTCATCACAATACTGGTATACATGAAAAATTACACTCTTGATTACAAGTGCCTTATTCATGTACCGTAATTTCCGGCTGTTTACCCGCACGGCCGATTACCTGCACTGGCCGATTATTGCATGCAGCGAAAAAAAAAGTCAACAGATTACGCACTGGTGGATAACCCGCACCTTAAAAACAAAGGAAGTTTGTACAAATGTGCTCTAGAATTCACAACGTTGCATACTTGACAGAATGCGAATTCGTGGCCACATTTTGTGCGAACAATTGTTCGGCACCATGTTGATTTCTCAAAAAATCGATATCTCTGGTTCTACTGGGCCTAACAAGTCCCTTAAAACGGGAAAATTCTCTTCAGCTGAAGCTAGTGTTAACTGGAAATTTGTTACTGATGCGCCGGTTATCCTCAGTTTATTTTTGTCACAATCAAGGTTTTGTTTACACACGTGCTGATAGTAATTTGTTTGTTGCGCAACTAATTGTGCATGAAATAAACACGAGTCAGCACCATGTTTTAGTGCTGCTTTGTGGCACTCTTAATACAATAAAATTCATCTGAGAGGTGGAAACGCAGGTAGGTGAGAATTTCCTTCAATTCAGCTGCCAGTAGATTTCAAATTTGTCACATAACCCGCACCTCCCTATTACCCGCAGTGGTGCATGTTTAAGACAAAATCAACAGATTACCCATGGGTAAGCCGCCGGAAATTACAGTATCACTTATGCGAAAGTAATAACTCAAGTACAAATGTAAATAAGGCTCAGATTTACACGAAGTAGGTTGTGCTGATTGATACACACAGTAGCTGACCAAAATAAATAAGAACTTGGATATTTTTATGTATATTGATAAACACTAACAAAATATCATTCTTGAGTTAGATTTCAGCTGAAAGCCAAGTTTTGATAGCATGTCAAGTTGACCATTTACCTGATGATGTCAAGTTCACCTATTCATTTCATGTCTCCGCATAGCTTGAATTTGGGAAACACACTGGCATGAAATTACAATTTCATTAATGAGAAAACCTGAAAGATTCTGGTACTTTAAATCATCTGAAATCATCATGCACTTGCCTTTACATTGAACTCTGTTGTGGCTAAGTTATGTCTGCGATTACTGTTCCTGAAATCTATTATGGTGACACTCGATCTGTATTGAGCTGTCTGTTAAATAAAACCTCCAGGTCAAATTGTAAATCTTGTTTTGTTAAAAATTATAAGCAATGTTAATGTAATGTTACTTCAGAGTACTACTCAACGTATGATTCATTAAAATATTGCTTGTGTTCTGATCTTGTTATGCACCTATCTTTTTTCCCTAAATTCTTCCATTTGCAACCCCATATCTACCTACCTCAACTTAATTTTTCTGTGTTCTTTATTGAAAGTACAGTCCCACAAAACCCAAATACAATAATTATAGTAAACTTTTTGCTCTCAACCAACTGAAAATGGGAATTTGTGCCCTAATGGACGATAGAAACCTACGCTCAGCATTGTGTTACTTTGCATGTTTGTATTGTTGAAAATTAGTCGCACATTCAAACCAAATCAAGCTCCCAATGGCTTCTAGTGTAGATTACATCATTTCCCAAATGTCCCAGCCCTTCTGCAAAGTTTTGTCCTCACGTACTGGTACACAAAATGCCAAAAATATTCATATGAAATGCTTCCTTAGAGTTAATTTCACATCACTTGCCTTAGAAAAGACAATAAATCTACAGATTTCAGAGCTCAATTCTGCTTTTAAGTAAACAAAATCATGACTGAATCTATCAGACCACTATGGGAGATGATGCTGATGCATGCAACCTTTATTGTCAAACTGAGATCTCCATGACAAAGTTTGGCTATTAGTCCTCACCTTGAAAGTGAACATTTCAGGACTAACAGGAACAATATTGAAAACTATCTGACTGTAATCAGATATTAGCTCTTCTTATAGAAACTCAATAAGACACCAGACACTAAAAAAGTGGCACAATTTCTTAAGCCACACATGTACGCATTGCGGACCTATTTTAAACCTTGTGATAATTTCTTTTGTGGAAAAAAGTTTAGATTATTAATTCTTATAAATGACGTACATTTCAACATTCCAAATAGCTGATTATTTCGTACTTCCGTGATGTTTTTACTTTGAAGAATCGTTCTCAGCCCAAAGCCTTCACTAAGCTAAGATTCAAAAGCATGGTTTGATCAAATTTAAGGCTCAAAACCTTGCAGAAGCCTGTTATAGGTCGTTTCTTCTCGGCATAATTAACAGAGCGGAGGCCGCTAATTTGCAGCAGGAGGCCTTGACATTAAGTCTCTCAGATTATGATGCCTCCGGTACCTTTTCTATAACTTAAAATGTTTAAACAAAAGTTCTGGGACAACTACATCATCATCAACCAAACGCTCGTACAAAAAAAAAAATCCAAATTTTGAAAACAAAGACTACTGGTCTCTGCGGAGTTCTGTTGTTATCGCTATTGTTTTCATTGAACAAAGACTGAATGCATAATTATGTATGGGGTTATATGGTACTCTTGCCCAAGATTCTTTTCAACACCGCATTAGGGGAAGAGGATGATTTTTTGCAAAATCATTTAAAGTTTGGTTTGATTCCAACTGTCCTAAAAGTTCTTCGTCTTGGTCAATGATTAGTATATATTTCATGACGCATACATGACCGTTGGCCTCTGCAACTTGTGTAGACATCGGTGCTCAGGAAGGGAAGGTACGAACACCCTCAGGCTAACAAGGGGTACAAAAATCAGTTAAAACGCGTACTAAAAGGGAACTGTCGAAAGAGCTGAAATGGCACCTATTCTTGGTTACTGGGACATTCGAGGGGTACGCTTCACAAGATAACGTGCATTCGATTAGCTTCTAGCAAAGATTGGGTCACTCCACGTGTACAATTTTTTTTAATATTTTTTTTTGCATTGAACAGCTTGCAGAGCCTATCCGTCTTCTTCTAAACTACACTGAAACCGAATTTAAGGATGAGCGGTATGAACTTGGTGATGGTAAGGTGTCTTGAATTGTGCACGATCACTGCTGTAAACCCGCAGGTTGCTTTGACTGAAGCTAGACCTGTTGAATCCACAAATTAAGCCCTGAAAATGGATACGTTCCACCCTTGCTCTATTTTTTTTAAAGTTTTAACATTCCTTAGAAAACCAGGCACTTCTTGTTATTTTTGAACTTGTTGTCATCCCCTTGAAATATATGCGTATATAGATCAAGGACCATGCAAACGACAACAAAAGGCAAAGAATTATTGAAGCACAAATGAATCAATGTGCAACGTCCTTTAATTCGGAATCCATAGATCGATCCCTGGTATTTCTTTCAATCAAGCGCGTCAATCTGGCGCTGTCCCTTTCCTGTTTCACTTTCAGCCCCCGAGTACAACGCCAAGGCTTGGACCTCTGTCAAGTATACCCTGGGACTGCCATTTCCTAATGTGAGTTCAGATCCTTAAAATAGGATCTTTCATAGGTTTCCAAACTTAGGCTGGGTCTTCTAATACTGTCCACTTGGTTCATTGTCTTAATGCTTTCTTGGAAAATTTATCATTTTGCAAATCAATTGTCTTGGTATTTTTAAAATGTATTTTAAAATGTATTTTTTTTTAGCTGTAGCTAACTGCGAGCAGTGGTACATCATATTTTGTATTTTGTCAATTTTTCTCAATAATAAACTCCATAATAATAATAGATAGA